CAGGAAATACGCAGGTGGACTAAGATGAACCACAGCATGCCAACGCTTCCGGGACATGGGGCGGGCAGCGTGCCACAAGAACCTACCTGTTCACAACATGCACTGTGAAGGAGCAGCAAGTTCCCAAAGCAGGACTCTCCTTCCAGCTTCCGGAGCCGGAACAAAGAAACAAGCTAACCCAGATCAAGGAGCCGGGGCAGTAGTGAAGGGAGTGGGGAGAGAGCAGAGGGGGGCACGGAAGCTTCCAGAGGGAGAGAGGGAGAGCTAGCTCACGTGGCTAAAGTCAGAAGTGAAAGTGGGCACGCTCACCTTATAGGTGCAAAAAGGGCTATCACAGAAGCCAAGAATGATTGCGCTGCAGTAGATGAGCTAAGCTTGATGAAATGGACCGTTCCTAGAAACAGGAATTCCCAGCAACTGCCAGAGAAACAGGAAGTCTGACCAGCCCGTGACAAGGAGAGAGATTGGATCGCCCAGGAAGCTCTGCTGGCAAGGAAGAGCTCGGGACCAGACAGCTCCGCTGTGAGCTCTGATCAGCATTCCAGGAGGAATCGACCCCGATCTGTCTGAGCTCCTGAAAAGTCCCCTAAACCAAGTCATGAGAGGATGGTGTGGCCAGCACTGCTCTGGCCCCAAGCACAGGGCAGACAAAACTAGCACTCGAAGTGCAGGCTGGGGTCCCCATGAGCCTAGCCAAACCCGCCTAGTTGATTCTGTGCCCCAGACCCCACGGGGCACAGCAGAAGGCTTCTGTGGAGGCAGGTGGTCATGTTCTTCTCCCATTGAGAGACCAGTGGTCTTGAACTTCCAACCTTCTGGGTAGCAGCCAACCGGCTCCACCACTGCACCACCGGGCCTCCGTATCGACACAGATCTGAGAGCCCCCAGAAGCAGCATCGTCAGCGATGGAAGGGACGTGGCAGTGCCCCTGAGTCCGAACCGACTTCTCAGCACAACGGCATCCACACCATGATGGAGCGAAGCTGACCTCGGGGCTACAGGCACCCCCCCACCCGCCCCCACCCGCCCTCTGACCCCACAGCCCTGCCGGGCACAGCACTAACCCTTTGCCTCTACTTGGTGCCAGCAAAGCAGCGGCCAGGATGGGCTCCCCTGGACAGAGCCAGCAGGCGGGCCCAGCCCACAGGGCTGTGGATGGCAGAGTCTGGGAATCATTGGCCAGGACTGCCTATCACAGCACCTCTGGGAGGGTCTTCAGGGCGCCATTGAGATTGGTACTGAGCATGCCAGCCATTCCCAGGCCCAGAGGCCAGCTCCAGGGGATCGTGTCTGTCTTCTGTCCACCCCAGCCCGGCCAGTTGCTCCACGACAGAGGGGAACCGTGGGCCCTGTGTGAGCTCCCTGCCCTGGGCCACCCTTCCTGGCTTTGCAGGTCTGAGCTCTGTGGGCAGAGGGCCACAGCTCGGCTGTGCATGCGTGCTGTGCTGTCGGCACTGTGTCCTGGATGCCCCTGCTCACACACAGAGATTAACCTCTCGTGCCGGCGTCCCCAAGTGCCAGCTCTCCAGGGCTGCTCAGGCGGGGCGGGGGCAGTCAGCGAGGTGAGCCCTCAGCGCCCCAGTGCCAGCACAAGGAGCAGGGACCCTCTTCATAGCGCCTGCTCGCGGGGGCGGGGGCGGGGACAGTGGGGGGCCTGGCACGCTGGCTGAGCTGCTTGCCCGGCACCTTCCCTGATCCCTGGGGTCAGAATTGGCTGTTGGAAGCACCATCTTGTCCTTCCAGCCTTGCTGACCGTGTCCTCCAAGCTGGCCACAGGTCCATGGGGTCAGCTCCCAACCTCCTCTCCTTCAGAAGCCCTCAGGATCCCTGGCTTTGTCTTCTCTGGGAAGCCCCTCCCCTCCAGCAGCCCCTCATGGCTGTAGGCCCAGAATGAAGGCAGGTGGGTGCCCGACATCTCAGGCTCAGGGAGCCTGTGATCCTGTGGTGCTGGGGGCGGGGTGGGGTGTCTGGTGCCATGGTGTCCAAGTGTGTAAGATCAAGCAGCCCCCCAGCCTGACGCGGGGAAGTCCCCTGGGGACAGGCAATGCATCATGGGTGTGGCAGTGTGCCCATCAGTCACATCGGCAGAACCTGGTGGGATGCACGTGGGGCCATGGGGTCGTGGATTGGAGCGAGCTCCGGCTGTTTGGGCCTGAAAGGAGCCCTGGTGGTGCTGCGGAGCAAGCGTCGGTCTGCTCACCACAAGGCCAGCAGTTCAAACCTGCCCACTGCTCCCAGGGAGAAAGACCAGGCTGTCTGCTCACACCCTGAAGACTGGGTTGGAACCCCGCCACAGGGTCGCTGTCTGTCAGGATGGGCTCGGAGCAGTGGGCTGTGGGTTCTCCAGAGCTCTGCTTCCTGTGCCGTCCTGCTTGTCTGTGTTCGCTGGTTGGGTGCTGCTGACCTGGAAGGTGGTACTTAGCCCGAGTTGGCCTTGTTCTGAATTGGGACCTGGCAGGGCGTGGTTGCCACGGTGCCTGTCCATCTCGCAGAGGGCCTCGCCTCCCTGCCCATGTTGGCCCTCTGCTTCACCACACACAGGTCCCCTCCATGGGTGGCCCCCTTGGAGACGTGTCCAAAGCACAGGAGTGGGGTGGCACTGATTGTGAGCTGACGGTGTTTCATGGGCTGTGCTCTTTGAAGTCAGTCGCCAGACCACTTTTCCGAGTCTCTCTCGGCCGGGCAGCTCCAATGAAGCTTACCCACCTTGGTGACCCTGCCGGTGACCGTATTTGCTCCGTGCCCAGCGTCATGGCCACACACAGACCCCCACAGCATGGTGCTCAGACGGAGGGCGGGGTGCCTGCTGGGACCCTTGCGTGTGCCTGTCAGGCAGGCCCGCGGGCTGGCTTGGAGTCCCGAGCCCACCCTCAGGAAGGGGTGGCTGGTGGCTGGGGTCACTGGCCTCCCTGGGTGGTGAGGCCCTTTGCCTTGGCTGCCCTTCCTGGCAGCGTGCCCATTGCCCCACACAGACACCCTCGCTTCAGCAGTGGGGAGGCAGGAATGCGCGGTGTCCAGGAGAAGGTCAGGGAAATGTCTCTGTACCAATGGTGGCCTTTCTCTGTCCCTGGGGAGAGGGCACCCGTGGACCCGCAGGGGGAGAGAATGCTGCATCAAAGCGGGCCGGTCTGGCCCCACCTGCCCGAAGGCCGCTTCCATGGGCCATGGGGGCGAGTTCAAAGTGACCCCGCTCGATGCATATTCCTGGCTCCTTTGAGTACCCACCCTCGGAGTGAGCTTGCAAAGGCCCAGGGAAATGCCAGGGTTAATTTTTTATGAGTCCATTCTTCCCTTTGGATGAGAGAGGCGGGGCGCAGCCGAGAGGGCCTTCCTGAAGGAGAGGTGCTTGTGGGGCAGGTGCTGGGGAGGGTGGCTGGCTGGGGGTCCCCAAGAAGGCTGAGCAGTGGCTCCAGGAAGAGATGGTCCTGGGGCGAGCCGCCTTGAGGACTGAGGCTCCCCTCCGCCCATGCAGGTGGGTGGGAGGTCTGAACACCCCAGCTGGGGCTGGGCTCCTGCGCCAGTCAGGTCGTTGTGTGGGCAGCCACCTGCTCTGCCAGCACTTTGTCTGAGCTCCGGTACATTTCTGAGACAAGTCAACACCCCTTGGGGTCCACCCACCTCAGTGATCAGCTGTGGTGGTGCCCCCTGTGTGGACAGGGCTACTCTTGTGCTTCCCCCACTCCCCACACTCCTCCTGGAACCCCGAGCCGCCCTAGGCTGATCCTCCTTGACCCCCCACCCCCACCCCCCGGGCAGGGCACCCCAGCTGCCTCATGCCCCGTGCCCCCTCCCCATACAGGTATCTGAGTGTGCAGGGCCAGGAGCAGAGGCTGAGGCTGGGAGCGTGCTCCCTCCTGCTTGCAGGTTCATGGGGCTGAGAGCTGGCCTCTGGAGAATGCAGGCTCTGAGGCCGGGATATCTGGGGTGACAGGCACATTTTTGGGGGGTACAGCGCCAGTTCCGTTCAAAACTGGGCCGAGTGTCTGTGGGATGGGCCGGGGCCCACAGCCTCTGCTCCACTGTCTACTGGACATCCCCAGGACCACCTGGTGACCCCGGAGATCTGTGGGCCCTGCCTGAGTCTGCGTGTGAAATCTCAAGACTGGGGCCCCTCGGTTCCAGTGACCTTGCCCACCCCAGTAGCCAGTGCGGCCGGTGCTGAGGCCTGACCCTCCAGGGAGCAGCAGGCACAGCTGAGACGAAGCAGGCTCTCCCGGGACCAGTGCTGGGGCTCTGCTCGGCCGACTGCTGGCCGTGTGCTCAGGGGCAGGAACTTGTCAGAGAGCCCCCAGCCACAAGATTGACTCTGAGTGAATGGGGGGGCTCTGTGACCGACTGCCCTTGCACATGGGGCCAGGTGGAGGTGGGCTGCGACCAGGGCCATGGACCCCTTGAGCTGGCAGGTGCGCCAGGCAGGAACCTCCTGGCTTTAGCAGCCGGGGGTCATGGTGGGGGGTGGGCGTGGGGTCCCCTGGCTGCGCCTGCAAGCCTGGCCTGGTGCCAGCGGAGCCGACTGGGTGCGGTTGCCGTGCACATCTGCTGCCATGACGCAGGGGAAGCGCGTCCTGATTGGGCCCATTCAGAGCCGGAGCCCGCCGCCTGCGCCCACAATCTTCCCCATTGTGCATGGGGCCCCCACTCCTGGGATCGCCCGGTGTCGGCGTGAACTCCTGAAACCCCTGAGAGGCGCTAAGTAGCTATTCAGAGCGAGGAAGTGGCTGTGCACCTGCAATTTGATTCCAGGGGGGGTGGGGGCTTCGAGGTTCATGCTGGGGGTGGGGGTGCACCAGCCTCATGTCTCAGGCAGGGGACGGTGGGGGGCGGGGGGAGGGGATGATGGGCAGGCCCCTCACCTGGAGGGGCCCTGCTGGGGATGGGGGGTACACCAGCCTCAGGCCTCTGTGGGAGGGCAGCAGAGACACAGAGGGGTGGTGGAGTCCTCACCCAAGGGCCGTGCTGAGGGAGTCCCGCAGGCTCACGCCCTGCCCTGTGCCCCGCAGCGCCCGGGGGCTGGAGAAGGCACGGCAGCAGCTTCAGGAGGAGGTGCGCCAGGTGAGCGGCCAGCTGCTGGAGGAGCGCAAGCGGCGGGAAACCAGCGAGGGCCTCGCGCGGAGGCTACAGAAGCGTGTGCTGCTGCTGACCAAGGTGGGCAACCCCTCCCCACCCAGCTTTGCCCCACTGTGGCTGGCCACAGTTGGGCTGAGGGCCACTCTAACTCTCTGCCCCCGCACCCTGTGCCTGCCCAGGCCTCCCCTTTCAGCTCTGATGTCCATTGTCCATCTGTCAGTCCTGGCCCCAGGGCAGGGCTGCAGGTGTGCAGTCTGAGTGGTCCTGAGAGCCTGCAGGGTCTCCTACGCTTCTCCCCTCCCTGGGCATGTGCACCCAGGCAGGCCCTGGGAATGTGGCGTGTGCCTGCAGGAGGTCCAGGCAGTCTGACTCGGGGTAAGAGCCCACAGTCCTCAGTGCCTGGCAGGGCTGCCATGTGGGGGTGGGTGGGAGATTTTCACCTGCATCCTCATCCCCAGCTCATCACCCCCTCCCCCATTCCATTGATCTTGCTGACAAGAGTGGTGGGTGGAGAGCTGAGGGGGGTGAGTGGGGGTCCACATTTCAGAAGCCAGTGGGGAGGGGCTGGGCCTGCAGAAGGGGAGGGAACCCAGGGCTGTGGCTGCCCCAGACAGGTCGCGGTGGGGGTGGTGTTGTGAAGGGGTGCAGATGCCAACCTGCAGCCGGTTGTTTCTGAGGAGCTGGCAAATCCCTGCAGCCTCTGCCTGGTCTCCTCTGAAGAGACCCCTTGGCCCTCCTCTGCTCAAAGTCAGGGCGTCCTCAGTGGGCCCCAGACCGGGAGAGGACGGGAGCCGGAAGCCCAGCCCACCGCTGTGGAGGCCAGGCGGGGGCTAGCCCAGCGCCCATGGGGTTGGCAGACTACCCAGGGTCTCCTTTCGCTCCCAAAGAATGGACGATGCCGAACAAGCGGTGAGCAGCCGTCACTTAACCAATGCACCTCTGGGCTCTGGAAGTGGACCCCCGGAGGTGAAATTCCAGAGAGTTCGGTAACTGCCATTGGCCATAACGGCATGGCCTTGTGGCATGGTCTCCACTTGGGCATGGTGTACACGCAAGCGCTTGACTCGTCCAACCTGGCTGCTGCTCAGCTGGCTCCAGCCTTGACCTGGGGGCACCCTGTCCCCCGGCAGAAACCAGGTGGGCTGTTGAGTTGGCCCCAGGCTCCCAGGGTGGAACCAGCCCCTTTCCCTTGGACAACCTCAGGCCTGGCGCTTCTCCCAGGGTATCAGTGGGCGTCTTCTCCAGTGGGTGTCCTGTGCCACCCTTGGGCGCTGGGCTGGGTCAGCTCTCTGCACACGTTCTTCTTCTGGGCATGAAGTGCTCCAGGTGAGGGTGTGGGGGAGGGATGTGTGTCTCCCCAGTCACTGCGAGTAGTGTCAGGTCTGTATTGAGTGAGATGCTGAGTCCAAGCTAACGTCTCCCTGGGGCGGGGTCCTGCCCCCAGGGCTGTCACGTGCCCCTCCCTCAGCCCCCTAGTCCCAGGGCCCCTGCCAGATAGGACTCTGGGTGACCTTGACATTGGGGTAAATCCACAGGACATCTCAGAGCCCAGTGTCCCTGTGCCCGGCTCCATGCTGGCCGCACAGTGCAGGGACATTGGTGTCGTCCTGCAGTGTGCGCCGCTCCGGCAGCAGGGTCTGTCCTCCACGACTGCACATGCGTGCGTGTCCCATGCGCCTGTGCCCATGCGAGAGAGGCCAGCCCGGGACCCTGGGGGCGGGTGCCCTGCCCCACGGGGGCTTACCGTGGAACTGGGCCTCAAGTGGGCGATCCTACGCGCTCCTGGACGGTGGGCCACCAGGTTTCCAAGAAATGGGGTCGGCGGGCCACGGGTGTCTTGGGAGCCTGTGGGCTGTGGGTTGCTGTGCGTGAGGGGCCTTGGTGGCTGGGCCCCGGGGATCTACACCACATGCTGCCACCTCGCACAGTTGTAGGTCGGGGCTGTGGATGGGCCCAGCTTAGGGATTGGGGGGACCCTGAGGCACCCCTCCGTCCCCCCAAGGATCCTGTCGGAGTGTGTGGCATTTGAAACAGCCGCATGGGTGGCGTGCAGCCTGATTCCGAGACCTTTATTAAGCCATGCTCGGCTAAGGGTTTAATTGTTACTGACGGCTCAGAGTGTAATTACCTTGGTAAAATATCATGACTATTTTCGGCAATTGAAAACCGACTTCCAGAACTGGGTGAACACAAACCATTTTCCTATTTGAAGTGCGCTATTTCCAGGCACCCGAAGACACCTCGGTGTGGCAGCCGCACGCGTTATTTATAGCGCCGACTTGGGGTTGAAGCCACCACTTGTTTCTGTCTTCTCTTACCCCCCTTTTTACAGGCCCTCCTAAGCCCACCCAAGTCCCAGGGTGGGTGGCCGTCAGGAGAAGGAGGGCGGTGCCCTGGTGCCACAGCACCTAGCACAGGGTCTGGTAGCCATGGGGACATCCGGTCCGTGCTGAGTCCCAGAAATGGTCCTGAGTGAGTAGCTGATCTTAGGCCTGCACAGAGCGTCCAGGGGGAGCTGGGTCATCCTTGCTGGTGCTGCTTGGCGGCTGTGGCTGCAAGGCTCCCCAGAGGCTGCCCCTGTGAGTCCATGGGTGTCTCTGTCCTCACCTGTTGTCACCATGCAGCCCAGGTGTGTCTTGATCCAGGAGGCCAGCCCCAGCGCCCGCAGAGCGAAGGGGCTGCCAAGGAGACCCCACCTCTGCCACCTGTCAGCCTGAGGCTGCTGGTGCTCTCAGCCATCCCCATCGGGCTTGTGGGGGCAGACCGAATGGCTGTGGGGGGGTGGACCGAATGGCTGCCCAGCCCCCCAGGGGCAGATGGGTGGCGGCCACAGCCCAGGCCACCAGTTCTGTAGCCCAGACACACTACCCACCCTTGCGGTGGCCCTGCCCTTTCTGCCGGCCCAGCCGGTGGTCCTGGGGCAGCTGTGGACAGCCGTGTCCCCGCTCTTGCGCCTTGAGTTCAGGCTTTGTTCACTCGACGTCCCCTATGCTCCTGGCTGACATTGGGGGAGTCCCGAGGGTGCATGAGCAGCCCCCTACCCTGACTCCCGTTCACTTACTGCTAGTGAGGCACCAGGACCTCATGTCCAGGTGCTGCTGTGGTGTGTCCTGGCTGCTGTCCCAGACCGACTTCTCGGCTGTGCCCGTTGGAGGACAGAGCTTCCTGGTGGAGGGGCCGTTGGCAGCATGTGACTGGGTCCTGCCACAAGGCCGGATCAGGGCAGGCAGGCAGGGCCCAGAGAGAGAGCAATTGTGGGAAATATAATGAAGCCCAAACAAAGTGCCTCTTATCCCCTTCTGTCCACGGTGGAGATGTTTCCTCAGATAGGGCTTGTGGGTGGATGGAAGAGGGCAGTTGTGACTGAGAGGCCAGGGAGCCAGAGGCAGGCCGGCCGGCCTCCCTCCTCACTGCTCCTCAAAGCAGCCCCGGTGCGCTGAGCTGCTGCTGTGGCTGCCGCAGTGCCGTGCTCATTGGCTAACAGGTCGGTGGTTCAGACCCACTTGCTCTTCAGAGGGAGGAATGCAGCCTCGGGCAGCTGTGTGGGCAGAGCACAGTGGATGTGATGGCAGCGGTCCATGCTCAAGGAGCCCTGGTGGCGCTGTCTTAAGCGCTCCACAGAACCTCAAGGTTGGCCAGGTGTGGCGGCAGTCTGCCCGGGAAAGTCAGACGGCCTCGGCTGCTGTGGGCTTGTGCCATTCGGCCCTCGAGGTCGCCACAGGTCAGCTCTCTGGGGTTGCAGCTGGACAGTGAGGCTTCAAAGCCCCTGGCTGCCCCATTGCCCCCCCATGCACTCCTCTCACTGCCCTGAGTGCCCTGGTAGTCTGTCCTCTTGGCCCCTGGCCCTGGCCCGTGTCCTTGGGGAGGGCAGGCCATGTCTGCTCTGCCACCAGCAGTTGACAGGGCGCCCTGCTAGAGCAACATCTGCTGATCCTGGGACCCCGGCCCAGCCCCCAGCCTCCTGAGGCTGCCCCTCCTTTCTGCCCCCCTGCCCCCCCACCAACCTGGTTCTGCGGTGGCATGCAGAGGCGAGGGAGGGGGCAGCCTGAATGGAGCAGGCACCACCCACCCACCCCTGGGTTGGGCGCTTCTGGAAGCACTTGCCCGCCGAGGCAGGTCTAGATGCATGCTTGATGCTGTGACTCAGACTCAGGTTGATTGCCTCCTCCTCTCGGCCTCACCCCATCCCACGCCTTCTACCCTCAGCTCTGCCCACCCCCAGGTCCCTGGAAGGGGGGCCCTTACTGGAATTTGACGCCCCCTCACATTTCCTCTGGGGCCTCCCTGCCCCCTGAAGTCCTTCCACACACTGCCCTGCAGAGTGGACTCATTGGTTGGCCTGCACCCCACTTCCTGTGCTTCCGTCTGCTCCCCACGCTCACCAAGGACCTACAGCAGGTGGTTCTTGTCCTCAGTGTTGTCCCAGCGTCTTTCTTGTCTGCCCCTCCTTGGAACTTTCTGGAGGGTGGCCACACAGAGATGTCCCAGTGCTGGCATGTCACATTGGTCAGGGAGAACTGCCAACCAGTAGTGCCCACCCAGCCCTCCCACCTGGCGCTGTGTGTGGGCATCTGAGGACTCGAGGTTCCTGGGGGCCACACAGGGTGGTCTCGTCCTGTTTTTGGTTACTGCTTTCTTAACAGTCTCTTATGGGTTTGAGGGGAAACCTTAATTTTGAATATTTAAGATTAATTGCATAGAGGCTGGTGGCTTGATTTCTGTAATCCCTAACTGCCCTGGGGATTGTAACCCACTGGGCGTGGCTTGCTCCTCACGGTGTGATGAGGCACGGTTAGCGCACAGCATTTGGAGCCGATCTCTTGAGACAGAGAAGCCGACCAAACCGCTGCCATCGATCCTGTTCTGACCGGCAGTGGCCTCCAGGACAGAGAAGAGCTTCCCCTGGGGTTCCAAGGCTGCACCTCTCGACGGCGGCAGCCGCCTCGCCCCCTGACCTTCCCCTCTCCGTGCGGTTAGCGGTCTCTCAAGTTCAAACCCACGCCAGTGAGCCAGTGCCGACTCCTGTCCCTGGAGGACAGGGTGGACCTGCCCCTGTGGGTTTCCGAGGCCGTCACTCT